GAGGGAGGCAGCAGGAGCTGGTGGGGAGGGGCACCAGGTCTGGAAATGGAATCCAGGAGGGAACGGAAACCCTAAGTAATTTGGAAGGACTTGGGGAGACATAAAAGAAGTTCCTTCCCCTCCAGAAGCTTCCCTGGGTGTCCCTAGAGAGTCACTTACTGCAACTACCTCTCCAGGGCCCCCTTCATGGCTAGGGCTCAGGCTGATCCCCTTGACCTCTCCTGGGCCACCCCCAGGCCCGGCAGCCAGGGTGGGAACAACAGGAGCTCCGCCCTCCCACCAGCATCCCGCCCCCTCCGGCCCCGCCCTCCCACCCTCCTTGCCGGCAGTCATTGGCTCCTGTCAGGTGCAGTCTCAGCTGCCCTCTTGGCCCCTTCTCCCTCTGCCTGACCGAAGTCGCCCCAGGAGAATGCACCTGGATGGGCTGGGGGCGAGGGAAGGTCCCCATCGCTGAGAGGCCATGATCTCTCCCCCTGCTCAGGCCTCGCCTGTCTCAGCCGAAGGCCCGCGCGGGCTGGAGAGTGTCTGTGTGCCTGGGTGGTTTCCAGCTCTGGTCCTGAGGAGGGCGAGGGCCCTGGCGCAGCCCCTGGAAGACTGCTTCACTCCAGGGCCACCCCTGCCCCCTTCCGGCGCGGCGGCCCCTTGGCAATCCTGAATCCCATCTTTCCCCGACGCCTTCCTAGGCCATCTCGGTTTCTAACTTCTCCAACTCCTAAGCCAGCCATCTTGCTGGTTTTATTTTTTTTCTTTCCTGTTATTTCATGGTGATGAGGTAAATCCTGGTGGCCCCAGTCTGTGCCCACCCCCAGCCACTGTGTCCCCAGGGAACACATTTATTTTCCACCTTACCAGGAGTGTGCGTAAAATTGGGTGTGTCTGTGTGCCTTTGTCAGGATGGGCGTCGGCTCGGCGGAGAGGGTGATGGAGGTGTGAAAGGCGCGTGATTGCAGACTCAGCGGAGGCGAGGCTGCCTTAGCTAACCCTCCTAACTCGCAGCTGGCTACTGGAGGTGGAGGGGTTGGCTCTCGTGGGGTCTGGGGAGACAGAATTTCTGCCGCCCTGGGTCTGGCAGTGGCAGGGTGGGGTGAGGCGGGATCAGGCCAGTGTCTGCTGCCCCTGGCCACGGCCTCGGTCATTCCCTCCTCAAGGTCCCTACCTGCCTATTGACCTTTGTGGGCCCTTTGAGGCAGGTGGCCACACTCCTCAGCCCCGGCCCTTTCCAATTCAGCCCAGAGGGACCTCAAACTCTCAGAGTCTGACTCCCTGGAAAGAGCCCACACGACCTGGCTGCAGGAGCCTCACTTGGTCAGGGGCTTGTCCTGAGAGCCGGGAGGATGGGGAGGGGGTCAAGCCTGCAGGACAGCACCTGTGGGCGCCCACCCAGGGTGAAACTGCGGGGCCGAAGGGCCCCTGCTGCCGCGGAGGCCCAATTCAAATGCTGACCCTGAACCAGTTCTCGAGGTTGGTACACCTGTCTTCGGAGGCAAAGGACACCACAGCGCACGTCTCAGGAAGTGTCCTCACCTCAGAGAGGGCTGGGGCGGGCCATGCCCTCTGTCCTCCACCTTCCACCCTTCCTGTCCCCAGCCTGCCTCCCTCCCCTGGTTAATGAACTGGCTTGTTTGTTTCAGGGTGAATCTGAGTTTAAATACGACTTGCACCCAGAGCTCTGTGAAATTAACTGGGTCCTCCTTGCAGAGGAGTGGCTCCTGGGGAGGCTCTTTCCCTTTTGGTTTTCTTTCCCTGCCAAGCTGGAGCCCTGGCTCTTCGTGGTGGTAGCAGGGGCTGTCTCCTCTCTTCCTACCCAAGGACATTACTCTCTCTTGCCTTGTCCCCCTCATCAGGCTCAGTGGCTCCTGCTTCTGGTGAAGACATGCCCAACGCCTCGGCCTTGTGTAGAAGGCCGCGTTTTTACTAGCCCTCACTGTCTCCAGCCAAGTTTATAGCCCTTGGTCCAATTCACGCCTCCTCTAGGAAGCCCTGCCTGCCGGCTCCAGGCCAAAATGAGGTCTCTCTTTTCTAATCTCTTTGTCCAGCCTAGTCTTGCCTCCCTCACCTGGGACCCTGCTCCTCTCCTCTCTGTTACCTTTAAAATAGGCCTAGAGGCATGATGAATGCCTGTGGTATCTTCCCACTGTCCCCGAGTCAAAGGGACTATCCCAGGAGTCACAGAAGTGCTATATCCAGGTGCTGGTGACTGACAGGCAAGGATTTGAATTCTGGCTCTGCCATCTTCTAGCTGTGTGACTTAGAACAAGTTAGGTAGCCTCTCTGTGCCTTGGTTTGCACCTTTAAATGGGGCCAATAACTTCCACGTCCCAAAGTTGTTGTACGGACTGAACGTATTTGTTTAAAACCTTAGCCCTCAGTGGGCGCTCTGCAAACAGCAGCCTTACTAGACAGTGACCCCGCCTATCACTGGATGAGGAGTGGAGGCTCAGAGGGGCTAAAGATAGGGCTAGAAGCCTGGACCAGGACAAGAACCGCCGACCTGCACTCTTTCTGGGAGGCTCCAGCTGAGCACCCAGCCATCCCCTCTCCCTTATGTTCAGAGCATGATAGATCCCTTATCTCCACTCCAGCCTCTCTGGCAGTGACGCTGGAGCCAAGCCCACCCTGGAGAAAAAAGAACTGAGCCCTCCCCCGACCATTCCTGACAGGATGGCAGCCTGTCAGCGTCAGCTTGCGATTCCCTGAGAGACTGCGGCCCTGAGTCAAGACGCTGCCCCTACGCACAGAACTCCCGCCAGCACACCCCCATGCCGGCCTGTCCCGGGCTCCTCCTCCTGTGTGCCTGTGGGCTGATGTGACCACAGGACGCTTCTAGAACATGAGATTTGGAACAAGAAGCTGGGATCCTGATGTGACATCAGTGGGCTGTGGCCTCCCTCTTTGGTGGGCGAGGCCGGGAGTCACCTTCCTCCTGCTCCCAGCCCAAGGCCCCAATATACACCCCAAATCCTAAGCAGAAAGCACATCTCTTCGTGCCACCCCTGAGCATTCAGGCGCCTGCACCTGGGGTGCCACTGGCGGTCCTAAGGGCACACGTGTCTCATGGCCTCGGGGCTGTTGGGACTCTGTGTAACCTCTGTAACAGTTTCTGGAGCTGGGATGAGGAGACCTGGGTGGAGCAAACCCACCCTCTCCCTCTGGGCCACTTCCTTTGCCCCCTCCTCCTTCCTCCTCCCAGCCGTGCCCCCAACCCCTTCCCTCCAAGCCTCTCTCCTTCTCCTCCTGCCCCCTCCCCTCCAACTCTCCCCCAGCCTTCCTCCGCCTCCCCTTCCCGCTCCCACCCCTGCCTTCCGTACCCTTCTCCTGTCCCCATTTCTGTCCTCTTTTTTAATGCTCACCTCTTCCCCAGCCCCTCCACCCAGATGAAGTATTTAATGGATATTAAATTATTTTAAACTGACTTTTGCTTTTTAAAAAACTAGCTTGGTGATAGTGCTGACTCAGGATCATTGCACTGTTTAATATTGAATATGCAATTAATAGATAGATGTTTAGGTTTGGCTGTGCTTTCCCCCTTTCTACCGCAGGAAGAATAAAAGAGCTGATTAATCGGGTTTGGGGCAAGTGTCAGTGGCAGGAGATGTATGGGAGAAAGGAGATGAGGTTAGCAACTTGGAGTCAGAGAGCTATTGCCTCGGAGGCAAGGAAAGGGAGAATGGGTTTGAGTTAGAGCCCAGCATGGCCTCGCTGGGCAGTGGGGTTCCCACCACCCTGCTCCGGTTCTAGAGGAAACTGGCTGGATTTTGAGCTGTCTGCTCTGCACACGGTGGGGCGGGGTGGGGGTGGGGTGCTCCCTGCTCCCCTCACGGCCTCCCTCCTGGGGCTGACTTCTCCAGGTGTGGTCTCCCCTCCTTCTCCCAGGCCACTTTCTCTCAGGCCTGCCTGAGGGGGCGCTCTCTGAGCCAGCAGGTAACACTCACTCTACCTGCCAGGAATGGGGCTCTTGGCTGCGTCCTGATCCAGCTGCACAAACAGGGTGTGCGGGTGAGTCACCGCATGACCAGGTGACATGGGCCGAGGCCCTCCTGAGCCTGCCTCCCAAGAAGAAGCCCCTGGCTCTTCCATGTGCCACTGAGGAAAAGCCCTGCGTGAGGCCCTGGCAGACAGCGCTCCTCTCACCGATAGGGCTAGGGCGCCTGGCACTGGGTGTTTGAGGAGCTCCGTGTATGGACAAAACCAAAGTAACTCGACACCCAGGAAAGGGGCAGGAGCAGCAGCGTGAACCAAGCGGCTCTGCTGGCTCGGGGCCCTTTGTGCCGGACCATCGTGGCCCCTGAGCGGACCCATCTCCACTATCAGGACGGGCCGCTCTCAGTGGGCCGTAGAGAGGTGTGTTTGTGCCCTGGGACACGGGCCCCTTTGGGAGCAAGAACAAGACACCACCTGGCCCCTGGAGGGGGTGGGATTCCAGGCCTGGCTGAGCCTCTGTGCGCCTGGGGGTGGAGACAGTCTCGTCTCGGAGAATGGCAGCCCAGTATGGAGTGAGAGGCTGTAACCCTCTCAGACATCTCCCGCCTGAATCGAGCTCCAGGATCTTGACCCCGGCAGCCCCGCACCCCCATGGGAAGCCTGCCTCAGGCTTGCTCGCTCTGGCTCTGGCCTGACCCCTCTCATTTCCTGCCTCCACTGCCTACCTCCCGACCTAGTGCCCTTTCAACGGGTCAAGTCCCATTACAGCAGGGTTTTCCTTGGTGACACAGAAGTGGGAGAAGCACCTTTTTGGGGCCCGAATGGCAGCAGAAAAGTACCCCAAGATGTGTGAGCGGTTGCCCACTCACGGAAAGGACTGAACTCCATCATCCAGCAGATCCCAGCCGTCCCCCCTTCCCTTCGCTGTCTCCCCCCAAACCAGTCACCCAGAGCTCCCAGACCCTGTCTCAACTCTGAGGGCGGGCAGGACAGGAGGAGGCTGCAGGAGTCGCTGCATTGCTGCAGTGGGGGGAGGGGCGGGGAGGAGGACGAGGGGGCAGAGACAAGTGGGCCCTCACGTGAAGGGGGCTGGCGCAGGCAGCTACTACCTCCTCGGCTCTCGCTGTCCGCAGGCTTCACCTGGATCGGCCGGTTCATCTGCAACAGAGCACAGGGGGACAGCGTTAGAGCAGGCACGGGGGTGGGAGGCAGACGCACCCACACCTACAAGTGCACCGACACACAGGCACGCAGGCCACGCCGGCTGATACACACATGCAGACACCCACACAGCTGCAACCCTGCGTGTCTTCTCTAAACCCCACTCATTTCCCTTCACCTACGCCCCCAGGGCACTACTTTTGCAGGAGGGCTTCTCTGGATTGGAGACCGTGTGCTGTTCCTGTCCCAGCTTTGAGCTGCTCTTGCTAGCCTGTGACATCAGAATCTAAGTTGTCCCCGCCAACGCACCTCTGACTGGCCCTGCTTCACAGTTGGCTTTGCCAAAACCAGCGGGTCTCTCACCGAAGACTGTCCCCTGCCCAGGCCGGGACATGGCAGCAAGTTTTACCCGACCCCATGCCATCTCAAAGAGGTGGCCTATGGATCCTGGGTGCCTGAGCTTCTGGGCCACCCAGCTCCCGGTTGATGCGGAGCTCAGGGCGGGGGCTCCTGACTGCAGCCAGGGCTGCCCCCGTGGCAGTGCGTGTGGAGCTGGCACAGCTGCTCGACTCACATGGTGTCCAGGTGGACACCAGGGCACCGCCTGACTCCCCACGGCTCCAGGCCGCGGCCTCTCTCCGGGATCCGGCTCGATGCCCCGTTCAGGCCACTAGGGGTCTCTGAACTCCAAGCATCCCAGCCCCGCAGCCTGTCTTTAATCCTTCCTGATGCAGGAGGCACCAGGGTGGGCTCTCCAGCCCTGAAGTCCCAAGATGTTTCAAGCAATAAAAACAATAGGAATTACATAAATGGAATTGCATTCTCTGTGTCTGCCAGTGTTTTTGCCTGCCACGCATCCCCCTTATCCCTTATCATATCTGCGCATCTGTCTCAACAAAACCCTGCCAGGCAGGCAGGGCAGATGCTAACACCCCCATTTTATAGACGGGGAAGTGGAGGCCGGGCCACCAGTGGCAGGGTGAGCCTGGACACCCGGGTTGTCAGGGCTGTTTAGGGCCTTCTGTCCTGCACTGGGTGACTTTTTGTTGCCAATTCTCCTCGCGTCCAGAGGCTGGGCTAGCCAGTCACAAGCTTCCTCAAGCCTTCTGGTCTCTGATTCGAAGTGAGTTTTGGCTGCGTCACGACAACTGGGTGGGGGAGTGCGGGTGCTGGTGAGTCAGCAAGGTGACAACAAGGAAGGGCAGACTCACCGCCGGGAAGGACAGAGGCAGAAGGCAGGGCACAAAACAGAGGAAAAGGAGCCAGGTGGCCAGGGGGACAAGACAGGACACTGGGGGCCAGTCCACCAGAGGGGTCAGGGTGGCACTGTTTGCCCGTGGCCCCCACTTGGCACGCCTTACGGAGTTGAGGGGAAGAGGCGCTCCGTGTGTAAACTCTGCCAGCAGAGGAAACTGGCGTGCTGGGGAGAGCTCCCATCACAGGGAAAAGGAAGAGGGACATGAGGACGTTTCTGACTTCACTTAGGGTGCCCCTGGCTTCCCCGTAAACCACCTCCATTCCAGTTTCTGAGTGGAGGGGAGGGGCCAGGAGGCTCAGCAGGCACCTGGCTTGGGAGAAGGGCTCCAGGAGGGTGCCACGGCGCGCCTGGCCTCCTGTCCCGTGCTTCTGGGGACTCGGCACCCAACCTTTTCCTAGACTCTCCTTCCTCCTAGATCGCCCCTTTCTCCCCGTCTCCCCCAGGCCTGCTATATTCCCCTACAGAAGAGCTGACCTGGCCCCAGGTCTGGCCATCGGCTTCTTTTGGGCACACTTTCGCAGCTCTCAGGCGTGTGTAATTAGTATACTTCCCTGGGTAGGGAGCGTTCTCTCTCCGGCGCCAATGACAAGCTAGAGCTACGAGCAGCGGCAGGTCGGGGATTTGGCCAGGACGGTAGGCACAGCGCTAACAATGCAATGGTGGCTTGGCCTGCCCATGTTTCATCTCATTGGACCCCAGCTGCTGTGGGCGGAAGTCAATGAGGACAATGTCCATCTAGCAAGGGGCATTTGGGGCCAGGCTCCTTGGGCCATCAAATCGCATACAACCTCTTCGGCCAGGCCCCTCGCCTCTGGCCCCAGCCACCCCTAGTCTCACTCCCATTCGCTGTTTCTCAGCATCTTCCTCCTCCAGGCCCACTCCCTGGATTTGCAAGCTCCTCTCCCACAGTCCTACTAGTGTCCTCCTCTTGACTGCGAAGACTTCCTGGTACCCCAGAGAAAAGGTTCCTGAAAAACTGTTCTATTTTCCATACAGAAGGTACAGTCAAGGTTGGGAACTGAGTTGCAAGAGGAGGAACTCAGGTCCCTCAGAGGGCACACAGCACCACCTCACCTACAGGAGAAACACAATAGCCACTACACACATTACACTGTTGGATTATCATACCTTCCCCTCCGAGCATGCAACTAGATTGTCCTTAACTTTAAGCAGGGATATGGAGTGTTGGAAAGGTTGAGAAACTAGCCCGAGGTCACACAGGTGGCAAATGGTAATATCAAGATGAGCCAGAACTCCTGACACCTGACTCCATGTCCAGGCAATGCTGGGAACCAGGAGTGATGGGTCTGGGGATGGTCCAGGAGGGTCAAAGCAGAAGAGAGGAGAGCGGGGGGCCCAGGCTGGGGATTCAGGCTTCCCCAGCAAGGGGTGGGGAGTATAGCTGAGGAGGGGCACGTAGGGGTGTGTGAGCCAGAGCCTGCTGGGCTCTGCCGCTGTGCAGATGAGGGAGGGAGGGAGGGAGGCCATGCAGGGGACTCCACCCCCCGGGGCCTGAGCATGCGTAGCTGACCCCCATGCTTCGGGGCAGTGTCAGGAGGAAGGGCAGGGACTGCGGGGAGGGCCCCTCCCCTGGCATCTTGTTGCTGTGACCCATGGCCAGTCCTCTCTATATGGGTCTGAAAGCAGTTGGTGAGTTCTGTGGATCGACAAGGGCTGGGGGAGAGCTGTTTCTGATACGATGGGGCCCCTTTTCCATGGTACATTATACAAGGCAAGTAGAGTCTGCCTGTGCATCTAAACTTCCACCCCGGGGGTCAGCCAGCCACTTTCCCGCTGTCCCTGGGACCTGGGCGTTTGTGAATGCTCTGCATCAGGCTCTCAAACTTAGGCCCAATGTGTTCTCAGCCTCCCACCCCTGACCTGGCCAGCCCAGGACAATGCTCCCAGACGTCCTCCACAACTCGGGGCTTGCACACAGGCCCTGCTGCTTCTCTCCTCTTTGACTGGGCTTCCTGGGTCGCATCCAGCCTCCCACCTGCCCTCAGCCATTGCCTGGGCACCCACGGGGGGATCCAAACAGACTTCTGGAGCAGAACTGAATTGTTTCCCATGGACCTGTGACTCCTGCATCATTTTTCATGACCCGCTATGATCTAGGGGTGGTCAGTGTTCAGACAGCCTTTTTGGGGCTATCAGAGAGGTGCCAGGTAGATGGGGAAATAAAATAATGGCCTGTGCTTTCTTAATTCTCAGCAGAAATAAAGTGTCCGGCTCAGCTGGGAAGATTTCTCAGCCAGAGCAGGCTCCGGACAGACGCTTTGGGCCTGAAGGGAGATCTTCCTCCCTAGGTCATGGGCTCCCTTCCCTGGTCGACTCTGGCCCCACGCAGCCTCGCCAAGGCCTGGTGTCGCTTGAGGAGGTGTGCACAGCAGGAGCCTATCCTGGGGAGAGGACGCCACGTCTGACTGTGGAGATGGCCAGTGAGGACGGGGACATCAATCAATAAAGGGGAGAGAGGCTGATGGGGGGAAGGTGGGAGGGCACCTGCCATCTCCTTGTCCTTCTTCTAACTTTGCTCACTCAGACCATGGCCTTGGCCTCAGGACTTCTAGGCCAGCAGTCCCCAACCTTTTGGGCACCAAGGACTGGTTTCATGGAGGACAGTTTCTCCACGGACCAGGATAGGGGAGTTGGTTTCAGGATGATTCAAACACATTGCATTCAAGCTCACCTCCTGCAGTGCTGCCTGTTTTCTAATAGGCCCGGACCAGTGCCAGACTTTGTCCTAGAGGTTGGGGACCCCTGCCCTACCCATACAGGCCGCAGGGCATCCCTTTCACGTGAACACCGCACTTTGAGCCCACTCCACAGTGACGTTCCCTTCCTCTACTTCTTGCTCCTCTGTCCGGTGTCCCCTCAGCCACTGTGACATCCTTCCAGGAGGGCCTGGGGCTGGGGCTGTGGGGGGGCCTGGGGGTACAGGCGCAGCTGATCCTCTTTCTGAGGTGTCATTAGCGCCCCCATGTTCCCCTGTGGCTTTCAGCCTGGGTCATGCCTCTAGGTGCCTGAGTGGGGTTTGGTGACTCAGGATGACCTTCCTTGGGTCAGGCCTCTGGGGACATATCGCTAACTTTTGTCCACTGTATTTCTGCTTCCGGGGGAAGTGAGTGGCCCTGGCCTAAGATTTGGGAGTTCCCTGCTCCCAACCACAGCAGAGGGTGGGTGGCTCCTGCCCTCCCAGGCCCTTCTGCCCAGGTTCTGCCACCCCTCCCCCTCCCCATCCCTGCCACTTTTTGCATCAACACATATCCATGCATTAAACAAGACATTCCATTAATTTCTTCATCATCATAACTTAAGCTGGGACATACCCTTTAAATATTCATTCAGCTATGAAAACTGGGCATTAAAATTTTAATAATGTCAAGCTCATTTGAACCAGGCTCCTTGGGGACGATTACGATACAATTAGAATAAATACGATGATTGAACTGGTCCAGTGGCTTCACCTGGCCATGCAGCATGGCTCCCGGTGGAAGGCGAGGCCTGTGGCCAGTGGGCAGACAGGCTGACAGACGGGCTGCCTGGCTCTTAGATTGGATTTCCCTCTCCCTCCCACACCCCCTCCCTCTGTCTGTTCCCAGGCAGCCACGTCTACCCCCTACAAGAGTCTGCAGGTCTCTGCTGCCCCTCTGAGCCAGGGTGCGGGAGAACCCTCCCCCATCTGGGAAGACGGTCCCGGTTAACCGCAGTTCTGGTTACTCCTTTCCTGGTCCTG